AAATTAATGTTAAAATTATTGCGAAAGGCAAAAAATGTTGGTGCTATTCCGATATTTCTGGATACAGTCAATATTTACACAAAGAATGAGGCGGCGCACCAAGGTGACAATTTAGTCCTTGCAAATGACCGATCATGAAAAGTTCTTCAATTACTTTTTCTTCAGAATGACATCGGAATTATTTAAAGAATTGCTGGCATTATAATTGGATTATGTATATATAAAATAAAAATATGTCGTATTAAAAAATAAGAATTATTATTAATTTTCTTCTTCGAAGTTGTCAAATTCTCAACTATCAATAATCAAATCGACATGACATTTTGTTGATTTCATATCGTCTCTATACCGTTCCTGCTACGATTCCGGTGGTTCCGATACAGTAAAGAAACTTCTTACGGAACGGAATGCTAGTGAACTGATTTCTAGTAAGAAATCCGTTCCGTCGTTCCGATTCCGTATACATGAGACGGCACCCTGATACGTAAAAGCGTATACGAGGTCTGTTCAAAAAGTACCGCGAATTTTGAATATCCGCGGGTTACGTATATTCGATTTTCGATTTTTTTGTGGCGTTATGTTGGTACTCATGTCTCTCACTTATGCCGACAAGTTCGGTCATTTTGAATGTTCAGTTAATTTTTGACAGCTGCTTTGCTTGCACGTGTTTTGGCTCGTCTTCGATTTTTGCCTATTCCAAAAAATGGATCAAAGAATCTGTATCAAATTTTGAGTGAAAAACAAAATTAAGTGCGCGGACGCATTCCGAATATTGACTGTGGCATATGGTGAAGCTACCTTGGACCGAAGCAACGTTTATCGGTGGTACAAAATGTTCTCAGAGGGCCGAGAAGATGTGAACGACGAAACGCGCCAAGTTCGGTCGAATGTGAAGGTTTTGCTTACATTTTTCTTCGATTGCAGGGACGTGGTGCATCATGAGTTCTTGCTACAGGGTAGAACGGTCAATAAGGAATATTACCTGCAAGTTATGCGCAATTTGCGCGAAGCAATCCGCCAGAAACGCCTGGATTTGTGGAAGGACAAAAATTGGCTTTTGTAACATGATAACACCCCTGCTCACACATCGTTGCTTGTGCGCGAATTTTTGACCAAAAACAACACACTAATGATGCCGCAGCCACCGTATTCCCCAGATCTGGCCCCCTGTAACTTTTTCTTGTTCCCGAAACTGAAGAGGCCCATGAAAGGACGACGCTACGCTACGATTGAGGAGATAAAGACGGCATCGAAGGAGGAACTGAACAAGATCACAAAAAATAATTTTTTGAAGTGCTTCGAGGATTGGAAAAAACGTTGACACAAGTGTATAATATCCGATGGGGATTACTTTGAAGGGGACAAAATAAATATTCATGAATAAATAAATAATTTTTGAAAAAACAAAATTCGCGATACTTTTTGAACAGACCTCGTATTTCATTCATTTCAATAGCTATTCAAACCGTGTGTTTCTTCCCGAAATTAAGCTTTACCTTTTACTGATTATTAAGAGAGAAAAGGACAGTTTCTGCCCATTTTTACAGGTATTTTAAAGCAATCTCGTCATTTAGATTTATCCAAATTGTCTTTATTTACAAATGACTTGCAGCATAAATTAATGTGTCATTCCTTGCTTCTAACGTCACGATTCCAACATAGCCGTCGCGACTACTCAAGAGCCTTAATGACGCCGTATGTACATATATATTATGTACTTATTTAACAGAATAATTGATGACTGTCATACAACATCTTAGTATGGATCTATTTTTAGAACTTAGATTTTTGTAATAACAAGATTATCATTATGCAAGATATTCCAGATAGCCAAGTCTGTAGAAAGCAGATTTTTTAAATGTCTGCTACACACTATGCCAACAAAATAACAGAATTAGATAACAGAACACAAGCCTTAATGCGGATGCAGTTGATTGCCGTCATTTTCTGCTCGAACCTGCTAATAGTCTGCTAGAAGACTGCAGACATTTTGTTATCTGGATACGCCGTTGATATGTAACTTATTTTCATCTTATTTTCAGAATATTTATATTTTTTATTTATATTATGTATTAGGAATAAATTTTAATTTATGTAATTTGAATAAATAAACAAATTCAAAGGACTCTTTCAAAACATAATAACAAAACTCAATCAGCGGGCGAAGTAAGAGTCAACCACATTTTTTAATTTTTACATAAAATTATATATTGTATTCAACGCGATGAAACATCACGCCAAAAAATAATAAATAATAAAACTATAAACTAATACATTACAAGTAACAAGTTTCGGCTACCAGTTTGAGCCCTCTTCAGACATTAGTACAATAAAAAATAACAGAATAAATTGAATTGTCGCAAGTATTCGCATAATCCGAGTAATCACAGTTCGGGTGAGTCTCGATCTCGAAACATTATTTCCGTATGGTTGAACAGTCAAAAGTATTAAAATTGTCATTGTTGAAGTTC